TAATTTCTTTGTTTTTAAACACTGCACATTAGGCACCCTTTCGGAAAATCTGTAAACACCAGATCTTTTTCTTCAACTGCCAGGATAGGACTCTATTTCTGGGAAACAGCATCATATCACTGGCCTGGTGGATGTTCCTCGTCCATCAACGTACAAACCATAACCCGGCTGGTCAGATACTGACTTTAAGTGTCTGTCCAGCTCCCTCTTCAAGAAAGCTCGGGGTCTGTTGGACATTAGCGACAGACACAGAGAGCTTGTTAAATTGTACATCATATAAGGATGGCTCTAATAACAATATTAATATTCCTTGATTCTGCTAGTATCGTTGTGGACAATGACATGATAATCGTCAGAGACATTTGATACAAGTGCTTTGATAAGAGCATGAGTAAGGCCAGGAACGCTATCAAATGAGAGTACATGTTGGTCATACTTTGGTCACGACCTCTCACCAACTCACCTACACACTGACCCATCCACTCACCTACACACTGACCCATCCACTCACCTACACACTGACTCACGCACACACTGGCCCCACCTACTCACGTACACACTGACTCACCCACACACTGATTCCCCCACTCACCTACACACTGACTCACCAACACACTGGCCCCACCCACTCACCAACACACTGACCCCACCTTCTCACCTACACACTGAGACACCCACTCACCAACACTGACTCACCAACACACTGGCCGCACCCTTGACGTGACCTTACTGTTATATAATCTATCATTACCTCAGCAGTACTTACCAAGAACGACCCCAAAAATAACTTTCTTGCAGTTAATGCTAACACAGATATTATCACTCTTGACTACCTGTTTCTTATTCTTCTACATAAATCAAATATTTTGCCGAATATAATATGAATAGAATTACTTCAATGTTCATAAAAAGACTATATATATATATATATATATATATATATATATATATATATATATATATATATATATATATATATATATATATATATAATGTCGTGCCGAATATGTAAAACTGGTCAATTAGCAAGAACTCATTTAAAATTAAGTCCTTTCTAAAATTTTCTCTTATAAATTTAAAGATATATTTTTTTCATTAATGATAATGTAAAAATTTAAAATTTTGCACCAAAAGAATCTTAGAAAACTTACCTAACCTTATTATAACAAGAACAATTTATTTTAGCCTAACTCAATTAAATAGATTTTAAATACGTTTACAATAATTTAATACTAAACAAACACAATGAAATGTTTTTTTCGTTAGGTTCAGAATGATTTTGGCGAAATTATTGCATACACAAATTTTCACTTGTCCTATATGGCAAGATGAACGTTGCTATTTAAGCCAAGATCGCAAGTTCTGCCTATTCGGCACGACAAATATATATATATATATATATATATATATATATATATATATATATATATATATATATATATATTATATATGTATGTAATGGTAGATGTATATCTTGTGTTGGTTTCCTAGGGACTGAGCACTTAAAAGATCTTATCGCCCATTATACTATTAGAGTGCGCGAACGTTTCTCCCGAATACTTTATCGTTTGAGAGGGGGGAAATGAGACCACTTATCCCCTTTATACAAAGTGATAAGTGTGAGTCCTGGTTAATAGTGAACACTGGTGTTCACAAGTACTGGGAGTGAACACTAGTGTTCACAAGTACTGGAAGTGGTAGTGGTGTTGGTGGTGAGGCTGGTGGTGATTGTTGGGGTGGTGGTGATGCTGGTGGTGATTATGTTGGAGGTGATGATGCTGGTGTTCATGGTAACACCTCTGTCACAGCTCCTTCGTTATCCCTGTGTTACACCTATGGTGCACTGTGTTGCACCAGTGTTAAACCAGTTATAAACCAGTGTTACATCAGTGTTACAGGTGTTACACCTGTACCACACCTGTATCCCACCAGTGTTGCACCTGTGCTACACCTATGTTACACCTGTGTTACACTTGTGTTACACCTGTGTTACACTTTGTTGCACCTGTGTCACGCCTGTTACACCTGTGTTACGCCTCTTACATCTGTTACAGTTGTGTTACATTTGTGTTACACCTGTGTTACACCTGTGTTACACTTGTGTTACCCTGTGTTACACCTGTGTTACACGGTCACATCTCAGACACCACTCTTCGCATATTACTCGCACTGTTGTAATCCTACGAGGAAGGTGATTACATTGGATTGTTAGGTCGATAATGTAATTACTGGGCGATGAAAGCCCCTTGAGAGCAGCGTCCATCACGTAGCGGGCGTGGCTGGTGCTCAAGGTCGCCCGTGGCAGGTCACTTGAGTCAGGTCACCTGAGGGTAGCAAGAGGCAGGTCACTCAAGATAGGTCATCCGTACTTAGACAGCTAGAACTGGCCCATCACATGTATTTTTCTGCAAAACAACCACGGGGGGGGAATTGAATGACAGCTCTTGGCCTTTCGTGTTGTAATCAACACATCATCAGGAGCTTGAAATGTTACAGGAAAGAGGAGGAGGTCCAAGTAAATACGGTCGCAGGGAGAGCCTTCGTAATGTATTAAATTTTGATACGGTGAGCCGCTTCTGACTAAAACTATTTTATATCTAAGGCACAAGTTGTGTAGATCTTTGAGAACCTCTAAAGCGGAGATTTTATAATTTTGTTGCAACTTTATCTATGATGGTAATCTATGAGATCCATAACCTGGTCTACCTGTAAACTGCTCCAGGGCTCATCGGCCCCATTGTTCGATCTCAAACCCACCTTCTAGATTGATGGTCTGGTCAGGGTGCAAGTGACATGCAGTCTAATGTTGAAACCAAATCCTTTTTCTAATTGCGAGTTTTTTCCCTGGAAAGAATTAGGGCTGTGCACATAATATATATTAGACGAGTGCGCAGGAAACCCTTACCCTCTTTATATTTATCCAGCTGTCCCGTAGTGCACGTATTGCACTCCAGCTTTTTATGAGGACAAGATTCCTTGTTAATATTTTTTTAACCGATATAGAGATCCTTTTCCCCGGCCACCAGAAGGTGATTCTTACTAACATAAACAAATACTACCTGGAGTTTACCTGGAGAGAGTTTCGGGGGTCAACGCCCCCGCGGCCCGGTCTGTGACCAGGCCTCCTGGTGGATCAGCCCCTGATCAACCAGGCTGTTGCTGCTGGCTGCACGCAAACCAACGTACGAGCCACAGCCCGGCTGATCAGGAACTGACTTTAGGTGATTGTCCAGTGCCAGCTTGAAGACTGCCAGGGGTCTGTTGGTAATCCCCCTTATGTATGCTGGGAGGCAGTTGAACAGTCTCGGGCCCCTGACACTTATTGTATGGTCTCTTAACGTGCTAGTGACACCCCTGCTTTTCATTGGGGGGATGTTGCATCGTCTGCCAAGTCTTTTGCTTTCGTAGTGAGGAAAGTTTCTTACGGTACTTAGGCTTCGAAGACAGTGAATCTCTTCATAATCTGAGTACTGTTATACTGGGCTACTGGAATAATATAAGGTATACTTTAGAGACGTGAGATCAAAATTATTATTGTGACTTTCACTATTGCTGTATCAACCAAAGGCTACTCTTAGTTAGGCTAAGTTAGATTAGATTAAGTTGTAACACGTTCATTAGATGAGGTTAGGATAGGTCTGGTTAGGTTCGGTTGAACTAAGGTTAGGTTAGGATAGGGCTAAGATAAATTAGATTATGTTAGATTATGATATGATAGGTTACATTTGATTGTAACAAATTCGCTTAAGACAAGATTCTTTATTTTAATTCTTTATTTTTTATTTGTATTTATTTATTGTCTTCCTTCCTCATTAAAATAGTTATCGGGGTTCCCTTTGTACAATCAAGAATTTCTAACTGTGCTGTTGTTTAGATCCAGAAGGGTGGAGAGACATGGGTACAGAATGGTGAAGATACAAGGAAACAGTGGTGAAGAGACAAGAGTAAAGAGTAATAAAGAGACCAGGAACAGAGTAATGAAGAGACCAGGAACAGAGTAGTGAAGAGACCAGGAACAGAGTGGTTGAGTGCAATGAGTTAACCCTTGGTTGTGGTCTCTCTGCAGGTCGGGAGACATTGATGACAGCAGCAGCTCAGGGTACAGTGTTCTCAGGGGGCTCTGCTCCCTCCTTTGTTTACTCGCTGATTGTGTGATATTTTGCTTGCTCTCTCCTAATTTTTTTTTTCGTCTTTACTAATGAAACTGATTAAAGTATAAGAGCTACTATTTACATTTTTCCTTCCTTTTAAGAGAGTAGCTTTCTTTTATGCTTAAATTTTTGCCTATTCTAAATTCGCTAATAGCAAATTTTAATAATTTTTCCATCGAGTAGATGTATTGCAGTTTGTCAGAACTTTATTTATAGAAGCAAAATTATAATGACTTAATATACAGAAAATATAACTGTCTTCTACTGTATATTGCTTCGTAGAATTTAACTGACATGCTTATTCTTTTTCTAGCTTGGTTTAATATTTAAGTGGAAACATCGTGACCATAACCAAGTTCTAATATATCACAGCAAAACTGCTTATTTATCCTAGCTGACTGTAAGCTTTGAAAGGTTGATTCTTGCCTGTATGAAAACGTTATCTCTGTAAGCAACCAGCATAGAGAAGCAAGTCTTTAAGTTGCCAGTGGACTGCTGAAGGGGAGAGAGAGAGTAGTGTAAAAGTACTATCAACTCATTTTTACCATTCCTTTATTTTGTGCTACCCCTTCCCCCCACACCTCCCTGCCATGAGTCCAGTGGAGTTCTTGAGCCAAGGAATTGGAGCTAATTTCCATTTCCACAGGTTAAACCTAAGTATTTTGTACCCCTTTCGCTTCGCTGGTGCTGTATGACCCTTACAGACTTAGATACCTTGGATGTGACTACCGTTATATCTTGTGAAAGGACCAAGGACCCAGTGAAAATTAACCACACGCTTGGCTTCCATGGGTTACCCTGCGTATTAACCATCCAGGGAAACTAATCCGAATTAAGTCTTCTCCACAGGCTGGCCCCGGACATCGTGGTGGACGGCCTCGGGAAACCTACACCAGTACACCGGGCCCAGACAGAATACGAGGCGCATAAGGCCGGAGGCAATGACAACCTTCCGAGTGTCCTAATACAAGGAGTCGTCAAGGGCCAGGGAACCAAGTCGCCACATCATCAACGATCCTCCTTCGTGAGTTACCATGCTCCTTCCTGAGGTATCGCATTCTCTCGTGAGTTATCATGTTATTTCCTGTGTTAACATGTTCCTTCTTGAGCAACTATTCTCTCTGTGCTTTTTAACCCCACCGACACATCTTGATCATTTTATCACATAACAAAATTTGCCTCTGTTTTAAAGGAATTAACGAGTGTATGAATTATGTTAGACACATGGAGATGCCATATTGTGTGTTGGAATACTATGATATTCTGTCATGAAATGGGGGTAATATCACTTGTAATTTTCTTCTGTGAGTCTGATGGTAGCCACTGAACTTACATTTGTAGCAGACCTTCCTCAGTAAAGGCTGAGCCCAGTCTGCCTCTGCTCTAACTCCCTCCCTCGGCTCTCTTGTCCCGTCTCCACTTCAAGATATCCCTTAACTAATGCGCCTTGGATCTGAAGATTACTACATAAAAGTATGATCTCTCAGATTATTTTCTCATACGTTACTTAACTTATGATTTCTTCGTTACCCAAAAACATTTCTTTGCTATATTCTCGCATTATTATTAAAGATTCGCCGGTATTCTCCCGGCCCGGGCCTTTTCCAAGTGGTGGCCCGGCCTTGGCTCCCTGTCTAGGGAGTGTCTGAGACCTAAGTCCCCCATGGGAGGAGGCACAAGTACTCCCTCATCTTTGGGACCAACTGTCCCCAGGCCTAGCCACATTCCCCGCCCTCACGGGGCTCGTTAGGGAGAAGCTAGGCCTCTCTGGTCTGCCATCCCCGCCCCAAGGGGACTAATGGGAATGACAGTCTTGTGAGCTGGAAGCTCGGACTCAGTCACCTACCCTACCTTAGAAGAGCTGGGCATGGTGTCGATCGCGTTCTCACAGCTTCGCTGACGCGACGGTCTGGAGTTTTGAGACTCTCTGACCGCGGGTTTAAATCCCGCCCGTGTATGGTAACATCTCTTCTTCCCTTTTAAAAGTAGCTAAGTGTTAGAATTTACACTTTACCTAAACACTTAGAATGTTTCTGCCTCAATCCTTAACTCTACCATTCCTAAACTTTCAACTCACAAATTTCTGAAGACGTAATCACCATCATAAATTTAATATTTTCAAGTTATATATGTATTCATATCTAAGTTAATCTTACTAATTTCAGAGTACACGAGTTCCATCTATAGTTACCTTTTAACAAGGCATGTAAAAATCCACCTTACATAAGCTGTCGAGAAATATACCTGTTGACTAGGCTGATTCTTAATTATTACCAAAATTAATGTCAGTCTTCATCCCAGAAAATGTTAGCCGCTTCAGACCTCTGATAAAACTTGGTGGACACTTCACTTCATACACTGAGGTGACCGATGAATTATAGTCATTACAACATTTCTTGTGATGACACAATACGTAATATGTCTGAACGTGAAGTGAATTTTCAGTTTTTTCCTGATTTTTTTTTTTTTTTTGTATTATTCTTTCTAAAATATTTAAATTACTATTTGTCATCGATACAAAGTGAGAGGAGCTGTGAAAAAACATGGAGAGTCCACTAGAATGAGTTATCAGTGATGAGTCGTCATGGCGTATGGAGTCAATCAAGACAAATAAGTAAGTTTATTCAGGTATACACAAATACAGTTATACATAGATTATCATACATAACATCATATGTGTAGAGAACCTGGGATAACACAAAAAAGTCAAAGTGACTTATTTCCATTGGGCACTATAAAATGTATAATTGCGCTATTATTAACATTAAAGTTTACCTATCACATTTATTCTAAAAATATATTAGACAAAAGATAAGTAACATAGAAGCAAAATAAAGAAATTTCATTTAATAAAAATTTACATATTATACGGAGCGACTCACGAAATCGTAATGACACGATTGTAAAGAAACCATACTACGGATGGGGTTAGAACTCGCGATCAGAGAGTCTCTGATCGCGGGTTCTATCCCCGTCCGTGGTATGTTTTGTTTATACGGAGCGGTCGAGGCGGAGTGCACATTGCAGCGTAATTATGAAGAGTATTATATTACGTTCTCTTTGGGTCACTTCACTAGAGAAAACTGAATTATATAGGGGTAACTATATAAGATCACCGATATCGTTATAAAGACTCAAAAATCAGCAATGTGCGCGTTTCCTCGATTATCTTGAAGTTGACCTATTTCTTGTTAATGCACCATTAATAATGAATAGATTGAAAGAATTTTCACAGCGAACATAAAACAATGAATGTTTTACAAGCTGGCAAAGAGATTTTTTAAATATCCCAAATATTTTTTTATTTGTGTGAGGGTAAACAGGCAGATATTTTGCTAAATGTTAAAAACTTACCTACTGTTTTTTTTGGGGGGGAGGGGGATGAAGATAAGGTATATTACAGTATTTTTCATCAAAAAATCGGATAGCATTGTTTTACCAGCAGGGAGCACCCAAAAAACTTTTGACAGTGCCAGTACATGGCGTCATGTTACCAAGTTTCATGTTCAGCAAATAGTTTTTTCATTTGTTTGTTGGGCGATCTTATTGAAACTTTGTCGAGGTTGCTTGAATGTAGGCTTCTTAAAGTACACAAAAAAAAAAATGAACGAAATCGGACGAAAAACAAAACAAAACAAAAATCTTGGTATAACTGACTCAAGAAATCGTAATGACACGATTGCAAACAAACCATACCCCCGGCCGGGATTGAACCCGCGGTCATAGTCTCAAAACTCCAGCCCGTCGCGTTAGCCACTTGGTATACCCGTCCCTGCATGACCTGTATTGAGTGACTGCAGTCGCTCAGTGAACCGGGGAGGAAAGAGGACTTCCTATGGTGTCTTGGATACCTGGTTGAGTGGTGAATTAGTCCTCTTTACTAATATGAGCAGTACCTGAATGTCGTTAAATCATTACAGCTGACACTCACTACTACATTTAGACGTAATAACAGTATCCCTGAATAAGAGTCCACGTTCAAGGAGTCGGGGAAGGGGATGTGTTTACCATTACTCATAGACACTGGGTTTGACAAGAAGGCTTCATTCCACCTGTTCTAACGTGAACAGAGGCCTCACTTAAAGTTTAAGCTCAGATATATCACATACAGAATGGGGACATCAAAGACATCATTGTCAGAAAGGGGCCAAAAAAAGTATCACTAACAGAGGGGATACGTCAGACATATCACATACAGAAGGGTCATCAGATGTATCAAATAAAGAAGGAGACATCAGAGTTTTCACATACAAAAGTGGGATATCAGATGTCACTTACAGAAGGACATCTGATCCAGCCACCTTCATAAATTGTGTTGAATGTATCTTGGCTTCTAACGTTAAATTATGTTGTTAATTTTAACACTGTTTCATGTTGCGTTATGAAAGGAGCCCCAGAAAAATAACGTTTTGTTGTCTATGTTAACACGTTTTCTGATATTTGGATTTTAGTACTTTAAGTGAGGATGTATTGTAGACTGAACCACCTTAAATTGTAGCACCTAAAGAGATATATTTTGGATCGTAATAAGTGAAGTTAGTTAACATTTGAAGTGTGGATAAGGTTTTCACTAAATGTTCTAAACTGTACGTAAGTGTCGTTATCCACAGACTGCAGGTATCACCCTGCGATTTACAATACACGTGAAATGTTTTGAGTGCTAATATCCTAAGTCACATATATAAGCTACATTACGGTAATGGTATATAGTACCGAATTGAGGGGATAGACACATGTGCAACACCTGAGCATCTTTATTCGAAGACGTTTCCAGATAGTGGCTTTATCAGTTCAGTAAAGAGGATAAACGAAACATCTTCAAATAAAGATACCCAGTTGTTGCATATATGTTTGATTCCTCATGTATATAGGTTACGTTGCAGAGAGTGAGAGAACCCACTTTACCTCCCCACCTGCTGGACGTGTCGTCCGTGCTCCGTGGGGCGCTACCTGTGCTGCCTCGCTCCCTCGCCGCCCTCTGCCTCACCCTCAATATTCTCCTCCCTGGTCTAGGTGAGTCTTCCCTCCACCGCTCTCTGGTTTCGGTGAGTCTATCCTCCATCCTTTCCTGGTCTACAGTAAGTGAGTCTTCTCTCCATTCCTCCCTGGTCTAGGTGAATCTGCCCTCCCTCTTTCCTTGGTCTAGGTGAGTCGCCCTTCGCTTCCTACTTACTCTAGGTGATCATCCTTCCACTATCTAGGTGAGTCTTCCTCCCTTATCGAGGTGAGTCTCCCTATAATCCTTCCACTTCCTCTTTGGCTTAGGTGAATCTTCCTCCATAGTCTAGGTGAGTTTCTCCCTCGTCCCTCCATAGTCTAGGTGAGTTTCTCCCTCGTCCCTCGATAGTCTAGGTGAGTTTCTCCCTCATCACTCCCTAGTCTAGGTGAGTTTCTCCCTCATCACTCCCTAGTCTAGGTGAGTTTCTCCCTCATCCCTCCCTAGTCTAGGTGAGTTTCTCTATCAGTCTATAATATGGGTGAGTTTCTTCTCCCTCCAGGGTCTAGGTGAGTCTTCCTTCAGCTCTCCCTATTCTATGTGAATCTCTCGTCCCTAGCTCCCTGGTCTAGGGTATCAGGTCATGGTCCAGGTGAATCTTCACTCCCTTTGTCAGTTACTCTGTAGCCTGGATGAATCTCTCCATCCATTCCTTGGTGGTCTAGGTGAGTTTATCTCCATTCTTCCTCAATCTACTTGAGTCTCTCCCTTTCTCCATTTTCCCTCAGCCTAGATAAGTTTCGCCTCCCTCCATATCCTCCTCCTTGGTTATATTCATGAACATGCATTGTGTTCATGTTTTTTTAAATAGGCTGGAAGGCCTACACCATTACACCTTGTGATGGGATTTCTTTTTATGGAATGGACTGGCAAGCTAGAGGAAGGTCTCGGGTAAATGACTAAAACGCCACTGAATAGTTACTGTGGATACTCATGAAGTGCTCGACTTTGGCAATCACTGCTGACGATGATAACGTGACATTAACTGATCCTACTGTCACAGGATTCCATGGTTCATTTCTTTGGAAAGGGTAATTGGGATGCAGGACCAGAGGTCTCAGTCCTTCATGCACAGATTGAAACGAACTTACTTGAAGATAAGGTTATTTAAGATTTCGTTCGGATTTTTAACCCCGGAGGGTTAGCCACCCAGGATAACCCAAGAAAGTCAGTGCGTGTGAAGTGTGGACTATGCTAAC